CAGCCCCTCTTCTCTTCAAGTCTTAGGTCTCTACATACCTCTACATACCATGCTCCCTCAAATCTTCCCATCTTTTCTAAAAATGGTGTATCTTCAAATATCTTATTTTGGATTTAATCTGTTAAAACCTCATATGGTGATTTAAACACCACCTTAACATCTTTGAGGCTGACTACGCTATCTTCCTGTCGGTAAAAGGTCTAGGAATTTAGCTATTTCTCTACTTAGGAGTATCATTGTTGTGACCGTTGTACTCCTCCAACGGTCGCATTCATCTTAATTAATCTTTATCTCACTCTTAATGAAGAGTATCTTTCTTAATTGATCTTAATATTCAAAGGTTAAGGAAGATAGCTATTTCTCTGCTTAGGGGTATCATTGTTGTGATTGTTGTACTCCTCTAATGGTCCCATTCATCTTAATTAATCTTTATCTCAATAAGAAAAAGTATCTTTCTTAATTTATTTTAATATTCTCCCCCTCGAAATATGGCATGAAATTTACTGCCATAATTTCGAGAACTATTCAGAAAGCCTGTGAACGAGGAGAAACTTATAACTTACTTCATTCACATGATTATGTCATGTAAACAAAGTTATTTCTTGATCCATTTAGGAGTACACTTTCCTTATTTCACTTTAAGAACTCACGAGGTCTTTTATTTACTGTACTTTTGCAAGTCAAGCTTGCATCTTTTTCTTGTCCTTTGATTAGTATTTACCATGATGGTGCATTTCTATTGTGCCATGGTTAATACTAGGATAGCATAAGAGCTACCCAAACTTCTCTCGCTATGCGGGATACAAAAACATATGAATCATCACAAAACTTCTCCCGCCATGCAGGATTGACTAGCATAAGTACTATGCCAAAACTTCTCCCCATGCGGGATACATCTATATGAAAACTTAGTCATGACGACTAAAACATTCACTTATACTTCATTTTCCAATTAAATATTCCTGTTGGTTCCAATTTAATCAGAAAATTAGTAAACTAACAAAAAAATTTATCCTGAACTGACTTGACTCAAGCCTTTTCATTCACGTACCCCAGCACTGCAGCCCGTTGGCATGCAGCCGAGTGATCTCATCGGTTAAAAATACAACATACAATATGCTTTAAGCACCACCTTAACATCTTTGAGGATGACTACGCTATCTTCCTGTCGGAACTTTAAAAGATCCAGGAATTTAAACTATTTCTCTGCTTATTGGTAATCTTCCCGCTCGACGGCGGTGGCGACAGCGGTGAGGAAAATCCAGGTAGGCTCCTCCCCTCTCCGTCCTTTCTTCTAGGGTTTGGTCTTAGGGTTAGGGTTTGGGTTTGGCTGGTTAGGGTTTGGCCGAACCCACCGCTACTGTTTTTCTTCCCCGGATCCATCTACACGAATTAGGGTTCGGGTTTGGGTTGATTCGAATTGTACCCCCTTTCTGCTGTTATTCTTCCCCTTCTAGGGTTAGGGTTCGGAACCCTCTGCATCTCTTTTCTTCACCCCGACTAGGGTTAGGATTTCAATCCGAACCGGATCGAACCCTCTACTTCTCTGTCTCTTCAATTTCTTTTTCAATTTTCTACCCCACACTCGATCTACACACTCAGAAAACTTGGCTCTGGTACCATTGATAGAATTTGTTGAACCTCTAGGTGTAGATCAGTGGGTAAATTGCTTAACTTAGATAGGTTTGGTGATATACCTCGCCACATGCAGTCGCTGCCATGGCGCCGCTGTCACGGTGGCCGCGACGTGTCGGAGTAGGAGAAACATAGACATGCCCGCTAGGTCGTCGTAGGTAGTAGCAGTGTAGGCGCGGCGTTGGTGGCGGCGGCGAAGGCGATGGCGCTTCCCGTCGCTTACAGCTCCCCCTTCTGGATCGGACTGGGGTTAGGACATCACGATGGGGCTGGCGGCTGCGGTGAATCTCGTGTCCTGTGCCCTAGCCCCCATAGTCCTTTTAATAGTGCTACGCGACGGGGGCCCATCAACCACTTAGAACCGGTTGAGCGCCCCCGATCAGGGCATGGATCAAGGGCCTAATTGGCCATTGGGCTAACTGGTGGAGATCATCCTAACAGTTCTGTCCATGGATTTCAAGGCTTCTAAGGTCTCCGTCTCAGAGAAGGGAGCAGTAAGGTCCAGGGATGGCTCTCGTTGATCTTGGAAGAGGTGTCCTGCTTCAAAACTCCATGTGGGTGATCCGAACTCACCAATGATGGAGCTGAAAAAATCGATGAGTGCCTGAATCTTGCCCTCATGACTGGCAATCATAGAACCCTGAACCTCCACATATCAAATCTTGTTGTTGCGTAGCCGAACAGTAGCCTGAGCATGATGGAAGGCCGTGTTGGCGTCCCCTTCCCTGACCGCTCTGAATTTGCTGCGTTGTTTCTAGTAAGCTGCTCGCTCCTTGATCGCCTGTGCGAGGCAATCGAGACAAGTTCTGCGTGCCTGTAATTCATCAGTAGATAATGCCCACTCCTCCTCAAAAGTGTCAAGTAATTGGATTATGAATTTGCAATTGGTAATAAGTTGGTGAGGCGCCCTGATACGCCAAGACCAAACCTTTGCCGTCGCTCTGGCCGACTTGAGACATGCAGCAAGCTGACCAGCCGCGTCGCTGCACTTACGCGCCTCAGCCCACGCTAGGATGATGGATGGGAGGAAAGATTGCCTTAGGAGCCAAGCGTTTTCAAAACGAAAGAGGCGAGATTTAGGAATTGTGGTAGACATGGAAAGGAAGATCGGAGTGTGTTCGGAGATCAGTTTGGCCCTAGAAGAGAGGGAGGTGTCCGGGAAGGTGGTGGTATGAGAAAGGTTAACCAGGGTCCTGTTGAGTTTGGCTAGGATAGGCGGGTCCTGACCATTGGACCAAGTGAAATTTCGCCCAAGCAAAGGAATTTACATAACCCCCAAATTGCAGATAGCGTCGTTGAAAGTGGACATGAGGGAATTGTTGATATTGTCGTTGTTTTTCTCGTCCCTGGAACGGATGAGATTGAAATCTCCGATGATGACCCAAGGGCCATCGACCTGAGAAGAGAGATCCGACAGTTCAAGGAGGAATTCGTTGGTGAGACGGTGATCAGAAGGACCGTAGACGTTGGTGATAACGAGGGAGAAGTCAGACAAGGTGCTGTTGAGAGAGATTGTAAGGGAGTGAATTTTTGTGGTGTAGCCGGTGTAGCACCAGGAACTTGGATTCCAGGCAGTGATGATTCCTCCCCTTGAGCTGATGGCAGGGAGGAACTGGAAGTTCTGTGCAAGTTGCGGAGGCAGGAAGGTTTTCCCCTTTAGGCGATCGATGTCACGGAGTTTAGATTCTTAGATACACATGATAGTGGGGTTAGCAGAAATAATCGCCTTGCGAACGACATTGCATTTATCCGGGTCGCCTAATCCGCATACATTCCAAGACATAATAGAAAGAGAGCGATTTGAACTAGAACCTTGATTACTCATTACGAACCAGGTAGCACCCAAAGTACAGCGGAACATTCGGATAAATAAAAGAGTTTTTGGGATAAAATAACAACGACAAGCTTGAGCTAAATAAACATCTAGAAGACCTGAAGAAGGTAACTTGGCCTAACGCGTTTGGGACACCAGACGGCCGTCTGATCCGGGATCCCGGGAGCAAGCGGAAAGTCGATCTCATTCCACAACGTCAGTCACCACGTCGACGGAGGCGGCGGAGGAGCAGCCAACAGTCGCCGCCGAGATGAGCTTGCGGATCTCCTTGGCGCTCATGGGGATCTTGTTGCGAGACCGGATGTTCCTCTTCGCAACCTGCTTCTTCAGAGCAGAGGAGCAACCAGATAGGGCGTTGATGAGAGCCTTACGATGGACAGCCTGGTTAGGAACGTTGACGAAGGAGCCCTCGGTTCTCGTGGCAATGCGGGCGCTGTGCCTAGAGGGAGTCTGGCCAGTCGTGTCGTCGGCCCTCCTGCGACACGGACGGGCAGGCTCGGCAGGAGCTACGCGAGGAGTCACAGGCGCAGCAAACTCAGCAGGAGCAACGCTAGGAGTCCCAGGCGCAGGAGCGTCCAGAGCCGGCTGAACGTCGAAGTCGAAGCTAAAGACCGAGGACTCATGGCATGGGGAGGAGTCCGAGAGGGTCTCCAGCCTCAGCGAGGTCCCTAGTAGCTAGTTCGGGACCACCGGCGTCGTCGAGGGCCCCAACAGTGGGGCCGGGTTGTCGCCGCGAAGGAAGCAGCGGGCAAGGACCAGGGCCAGGCCCAGGACGCGAGCAGAAGCTGCATCAGCGGGGCCCTGCACGGCCGCATGAGGTGGCGGCGGTGGGAACCGCCGATTTGTCGGGTGTTGAGTTGGCTGGCGCTGTTGCTCCCTCCAGAAAGGAGCAGAGGGGCCTGCTGAGGCCCTGGGGGAGGCCGTGTGGGACCATGCCTGAAGAAGGGTGATTGAACGGAGACTTAAGACTTACAACATGTTTTCTCGTTGGTTTTAGCTATGGCTTATCAGCCAGTCAACAGTGTTTTTCTCTCGTAACAAACTAGCATCAGTCGGGCTTATCAGTCCAGAAACCAACCAACGAACAGGCCGTTAGAGAGCTATGGTCAATGGGTGTTTTTAGCTCTTAGCTTTGTAGCGTAAGTAGAGACGTGATTCTCATCAGTTCACCAAATTTGCTTGTCAGTTCTCCACTAAAATCTAGTTGCATTTAAACCTTTTTTAGCAAAGAATCTGCTCCAAGCATCATCAGATTTAGCCACTGACCTTCCAAAGCATCAGCTTTGTTTATCTTATTGAGAAATGTGAGTTGAGTGCTGAGTGCCAGAAAATATTCGGTGGAATGTGAAAAAACAAGAACATATAAAATTCGATATACTATGAATATGCATCATTTAAGATATTTGAAGAACTTCTAAATAGTTTTTTTTGGGTTCTCTCTTTTTCATCAAAGAGACGTTTTGCACTGAATTATTTTTCTATAATTTCACATATTTTGTAAATATATATACCATTTTTCTTTCTTTTTCAGGAATTTCCGGCCATGTTTCCATCCATCCTGGGCCATGAAGCAATCGGGTAAAAGAAAAACTGCTTCTCCAGGATATTGAAATCATAGTGACACATACATGAATGCAGGCATGCTTTTTACGTGTTTGAATCAGCTATGTATGTACTCCCTCTCTTCTAAAATAGAGGTCGTTCTCGCTTCCAGAAGTCAGTTTTTTTTTTTTTGATCAATTATATATAAAAGAATAATACTATTTATAATACATAATTAGTATCATTAGATAGATCGTAGAATATACTTTCATGATAAACCTATTTGGAAATATAAATATTGCACATATTTTCTACAAACATAGTCAAAGTTGAGAAAGTTTGACCTGCACATATCTCATAACGACTTATATTATGGGACGGATGGAGTATAGTATATTGTACTCATTCAATTCCAAATTTTAGTTAACTTTTGTAGTTTTGTGCTAAGTTAAATTTTAACTAAGTTTGTTTAAAATATATTAACATCTATATGTTCAGATAAATACACTACCATGGTGAATCTAATGAAAAAGTTTAATAAAAAAATATTTCAACATCTACATGTTCAAATAAATACGCATGGCATTTGCGTTGTTGATTCGTCGTGTCCACTGTCCTGTCTGTCCAGCGTGGTGGAGAGCGTGGGGGACCATGTCCAGGAGGTGGCCGTGGGGGACACGGTGGTGCCGGTGTTCCTTCCGCAGTGCGGCGAGTGCGACGACTGCCTGTCCGCCCGCAGCAACATCTGCTCCGCGCTGCCCTACCGCCCCGGCGGCATGCCGCGGGACGGCACCACGCGCTTCTCGCTCGCCGCCACGGGCGAGGCCGTCCACAGCTTCCTGTGCGTCTCCAGCTTCGCCGAGTACACGGTGGTGGACGTCGCGCACCTCGTCAAGCTCGACGTCGTCGGCCCCGCGTCACTGCCGCCGGAGAAGGCGTGCCTGCTCAGCTGCGGCGTCACCACCGGTACGCACACACATCGCCGGATTTCCTGGGTCGTTGTCTGTTCATTGTCACCTGATGATGGATGGATGCCGTGCTGCATATGTGCAGGAGTTGGTGCGGCTTGGAAGGCTGCGGCGGTGGAACCCGGCTCGACCGTAGCCGTCTTTGGACTAGGAGCTGTTGGGTTAGCGGTAACGACAGCCCCAGATTTTACTATTTGAGAAACTGATGTGCATGTGTGCTCCGTTAGCTGTTGGGTCGCTCTCCAATTCAAGAGACCAAGACCAAGACCAACGGAACGTAACACAAAATAAAATCGAATTGTTATTTAGAAGTTTGGAGTGACAAACGCGCGCGCGCGCGTGTGTGTGTGTGTGTGTGTGTGTGTGTATATATATATATATATATATATATATATATATATATATATATGCCTGAACCAATGAACTGTAGGTAGCGCAAGGGGCCAGGATGCGAGGAGCCAAGAGGATCATTGGGGTAGACTTGAATCCTGACAAGTTCGAGATCGGTATGCCAATTGCTTTTCTTCAGCTGTAAAAGCGTAGTGAGTGGCAGATCGTGCTAGTACTACTGATCGATTAAGTGGTTGTTTGTTTCACACCTCCTGCAGGCAAGAAGATGGGGATCACCGACTTCGTAAATCCAAATGATGTCGCGGAGAAGACCGTGAGCGAGGTCCGAACGAAAATGCAATGCAATTTCCCTATGTGTATATATGTTTTTCGATGCATCTATATATGTGGCTGGCAACCAAGCTCACCGACGATGACGCATGCATGTACACGACGACCAGGTCATCAAGGAGATGACCGGCGGCGAAGGCGCCGACTACTGCTTCGAGTGCATCGGTTCAGTTTCAGTCATGGCGGAAGCATTCCAAAGCTCACGATCGGTACCGGACACACGAACGGTCCTGCAGCACGCCTGCGATGTGAACACACGCATTATTCGCTTGCTGCTGCTGGTCAGCTAGCATCGCCCACCGTTGAATCTTGTTGCGCAGGGCTGGGGGAAGACGGTCATCCTCGGCGTCGACGGCAGCGCGGCGCCGATCAGCGTGCCGTCGTTCGACATCATGCGGGGGCGGTCGGTCACCGGCTCGCTCTTCGGCGGGATCAAGCCCAAGGACGACATCCCCATGCTGGCGCAGAAGTACCTGGACAAGGTGACCCCATCACCGTCAGTCAGATGCTGCAGGATCTGTGAGCTGAGCTCCATCGATGCACGCATGCCTGAAGGAATAACAACATGCATGGTGGTCGCTGATTTCTTTCCCAGGAGCTGGAGCTGGACGAGTTCATCACGCACCAGATGGGCTTCCACGAGATAAACCGCGCGTTCGACCTGCTCACGCAGGGGAAGTGCATCCGCTGCATCATCTGGATGGACTACAGCGCCAAGGAGAACGTTGCGTGATGCCGCGTGCCGCCGACGCGCACGCAGGACTGCCAGGAGATCGTACGCTCACTTGTGTTGTCTGGTGGGGGAAACGTTCGTGGAGACTAGACATGTGTGCATGTCAGTACGTAGTCAGAGGTACTACTCCGTATGTTCTTGTCGGTATGGAGGGAAAAGATGCCTGGAGGCTGGAGCCATGCATGGACCATGGACTGGACACGTCCTATGCGCGTGTCCGTCCTTGCGTTGATTACGCTGCCATGGAAGCCAGCACGTGTTATGCATGCTCTATGAACAATGAACTTGTTGTCGTGACTCCAATTTGCTACTCTATGTATCTATGTAAGTGGCGACGAAATAGGTTTTAAAATGAACATTTCCACGCATAATGTTGTGTTGAAATGTTGAATTATGGCTTCACATATTGTTGAACCAAGTTTTAAAAAAATGTTGAAAGAACATACGTCCTGATCGCTTGGCTTATAAGTCGTACTTTTTCAGCCAACGAATAGTATTTTTCTCTCACAACAAATCAGCCAACAGTACTTTCAGTCATGGCTTATCAGCCAAGCGAACAGGGCAATATATATAAATGTGCAAAATTAAAACCCATAAAGTATTTGGAGTAAAAACAAGGACTAAAACACAAGCAAAAGAAAGGAATAGCAAGTGCCTTGCACATGTGGGGGCTGGCCTATTACTGTTTGTCACTTATCTCTTCCTGCAAGGTAAAAAATATATAAGAAAAATGATTCTTATACAAAAGTAAAAAAAAGTGATGACAGCATAAATTTTGAAAGACGTATGGCTAAATCGCTTGTGGTAGAACCTGTCCATCTAAACTCAACTTCTTGACTTACATGGGTGTTTGTAGTTGCTTGAATTTCTTTTCCAAACTTTACACTGCTTCTACGAGATGGCCGGTGGCCAGAATACCGGCGACGAGTCAGATCCATATCCTCCACGGCCAGATCTGATGCCTACCACTCTGGAGTCTGGATATATGACCTGCTTGGTTGGGTTCTAAAACTTGCCCAACCAAAATTAAACTTTGGCTATTTATTGGTTCGTTACCAAAAATTGGCACACCAATTTTTATGGCCAAAGTCATAGCCAAACCGTTAGAAGCTTCTTCAATCTTAAGAGGAAAAAAATGCTCACTACTACGTCGTGCCACTCAACCAATTGTATTCCTACATTTTTTGCCCTAAGAGCACCTCCATCAGATCCCCATTATAACTCCCCAAATATAATACTAATGGGGCTACCCAATACTATTTTTCTAATTATTAGTGGAGATGTCGCAGCAGATCACCAATGCCTCATCCTCAATACTTGATCTGACCCGTGGAGCCCATATGTAAGTTTGCCAATTCATTTTCTTTTTTTCCCTCTTTCCTTTATTTGTTTTTCTTTCTCCGATAGATCGAGATCGAAGCTCCCGGTTCCTTCCTTCGCATTGCTCTCGGGAGCCGCTTCTTGGTGGGCGGGTGCGGGTCTTGGTGGGCAGGCGGGCGGCGTGCTAGCCCGACGTGGCTGAGGGTTGTGGCAGTGCGGTGAGGGACTGAGGGACGCGGCAGTGCAGCGAGCGGCATGGAGATGACGACGTGGCAGCTCCAGGCTCTAGTGCGGCATGGGGGCGGGAGATGCAACGGCTCGGGTGGCAAGCGACGCGGACGCGGGCGGCTGCGGCAAAGGCTCCGGTGCCTCCTCGTCGACGATTGACACCAGCGCGGCGGACATGCGCGAGAGAGGCCCCGACAATTGATACGGGTGGGTCCCACTCTATCGGGGGAGATGCAAGTACCCCTTTATTTAAGGGAAGATGTAGCGTTTTTTTGCCCCGAAAAAGGAAACATTATTGGGAAGCTGCTATAGCAATGAAACTACGGTATCTCTTCCAATATGACAGGCCTACGGGATGAAGAGAATTATTAGAAACTGTTGGAGATGCCGTCGAGCTTCGATTTCCACGGTGCCCTCTTTCTTTGGCGGTTATGTATGACAGCTCGGTGACCTATCGTCGGCAGGCCGGTGAGGGCTCGACGCCCCAGCCCGCAGCTACTGTTGAGCCACCAGATTTCTGAACCTAGCTGAGCAGACAAAACCTACCAAACCAATTTCGTCCTTCATTTATTATAGAAGAAGAGTAAAAAATACGTTTTGCTTTACCCCCACTTGACACGCCTGCTGTTTGCCACAGCTTCACAAGCAGCAGTCACAAGACATCATCGCATCGCACTCGCACCTCGAGCGAGCGAGCGACCGAGAGCTGTGGCTTCGTCTGACCGGGAGGCCGCGGCGATGGAACAGAGCGTCGCGAAGCCCATCAGATGCAGAGGTACGTGTGCACCTGCCTTCCCTCGCTTCCGTCTCTCCTGCTTCCTTGCTTGTAGTTGTATGGACAGCGCCCTTTGAACTGTGATCGCTGCGCAGCGGCGGTGAGCAAGGCGCCGGGGCAGCCTCTGGAGATGGAGGAGGTGGAGGTGGCGCCGCCGCGGGCACATGAGGTCCGCGTGAGGATCATCTGCGCCTCCCTCTGCCACACGGACGTCACCTTCTGGCGCATGAAGGTACGGATGCCGGGCCGACCATAGGCTGATTCTGAATTCTGTTTCCCTCCTCTCTTGGACTTCGTCGCATTCGCGTATGTTGATCTTGCGCTAGCTAGGAGCCGAGTAGTAGTAGCTCTGTGCTTCGCTCGGCTCTTTGGAGGGGGGAAAAAAGATAAAAGAAAATCAACTTTTAAGGTTCAGTATCATCTATGCCAATGTCGAATGATCTGAACCTTGAAGTATTAAACTTTGTCATGTTTGAGTAATTAAGAAGCATCAGATTCTGTCCTGGACTTCCATATGTGCATACTTGTACTGAAATCAACCTGTAGGGTTGGATCGAGATCCAGGGACAAATTTTTGCAGTTTTGTATGTCACGCATACTGTTTTTGTTCCTTTTTGCAGGATTTCCCGGCCATGTATCCGTCCATCCTGGGGCACGAAGCAGTAGGGTAGGCTTTACATTCAGACAGCCACAATTCGATTGGCGTGGCATTTGCGGTGTGTTGATTCATGATTCGTGTCCACTGTCGTGTCCAGAGTGGTGGAGAGCGTGGGGGAGCATGTGCAGGAGGTGGCCGTGGGGGACACGGTGGTGCCGGTGTTCCTGCCGCAGTGCGGCGAGTGCGACGACTGCCGGTCCGCCCGCAGCAACATCTGCTCCGCGCTGCCCTACCGCCCCGGCGGCATGCCGCGGGACGGCACCACGCGCTTCTCGCTCGCCGCCACGGGCGAGGCCGTCCACAGCTTCCTGTGCGTCTCCAGCTTCGCCGAGTACACGGTGGTGGACGTCGCGCACCTCGTCAAGCTCGACGTCGTCGGCCGCGTCACTGCCGCCGGAGAAGGCGTGCCTGCTCAGCTGCGGCGTCACCACCGGTACGCACACACATCGCCGGATTTCCTGGGTCGTTGTCTGTTCATTGTCACCTGATGATGGATGGATGCCGTGCTGCATATGTGCAGGAGTTGGTGCGGCTTGGAAGGCTGCGGCGGTGGAGCCCGGCTCGACCGTAGCCGTCTTTGGACTAGGAGCTGTTGGGTTAGCGGTAACGACAGCCCCAGATTTTACTATTTGAGAAACTGATGTGCATGTGTGCTCCGTTAGCTGTTGGGTCGCTCTCCAATTCAAGAGACCAAGACCAACACCAACGGAACGTAACACAAAATAAAATCGAATTGTTATTTAGAAGTTTGGAGCGACAAACGTGTTCATATATATATATATAGACGGCGATGCCTGAACCAATGAACTGTAGGTAGCGCAAGGGCCAGGATGCGAGGAGCCAAGAGGATCATTGGGGTAGACTTGAATCCTGACAAGTTCGAGATCGGTATGCCAATTGCTTTTCTTCAGCTGGTAAAACTGTAAAAGCGTAGTGAGTGGCAGATCGTGCTAGTACTGCTGATCGATTAAGTGGTTGTTTGTTTCACAACTCCTGCAGGCAAGAAGATGGGGATCACCGACTTCGTAAATCCAAATGATGTCGCGGAGAAGACCGTGAGCGAGGTCTGAACGAAAATGCAATGCAATTTCCCTATGTGTATATATGTTTTTCGATGCATCTATATATGTGGCTGGCAACCAAGCTCACCGACGATGACGCATGCATGTACACGACGACCAGGTCATCAGGGAGATGACCGGCGGCGAAGGCGCCGACTACTGCTTCGAGTGCATCGGTTCAGTTTCAGTCATGGCGGAAGCATTCCAAAGCTCACGATCGGTACGGACACACGAACGGTCCTGCAGCACGCCTGCGATGTGAACACACGCATTATTCGCTTGCTGTTGCTGGTCAGCTAGCATCGCCCACCGTTGAATCTTGTTGCGCAGGGCTGGGGGAAGACGGTCGTCCTCGGCGTCGACGGCAGCGCGGCGCCGATCAGCGTGCCGTCGTTCGACATCATGCGGGGGCGGTCGGTCACCGGCTCGCTCTTCGGCGGGATCAAGCCCAAGGACGACATCCCCATGCTGGCGCAGAAGTACCTGGACAAGGTGACCCCATCACCGTCAGTCAGATGCTGCAGGATCTGTGAGCTGAGCTCCATCGATGCACGCATGCCTGAAGGAATAACAACATGCATGGTGGTCGCTGATTTCTTTCCCAGGAGCTGGAGCTGGACGAGTTCATCACGCACCAGATGGGCTTCCACGAGATAAACCGCGCGTTCGACCTGCTCACGCAGGGGAAGTGCATCCGCTGCATCATCTGGATGGACTACGGCGCCAAGGAGAACGGCGCGTGATGCCGCGTGCCGCCGACACGCACGCAGGACTGCCAGGAGATCGTACGCTCACTTGTGTTGTGTGGTGGGGAAACGTTCGTGGAGACTAGACATGTGTGCATGTCAGTACGTAGTCAGAGGTACTACTCCGTATGTTCTTGTCGGTATGGAGGGAAAAGATGCCTGGAGGCTGGAGCCATGCATGGACCATGGACTGGACACGTCCTATGCGCGTGTCCGTCCTTGCGTTGATTACGCTGCCATGGAAGCCAGCACGTGCATGCTCTATGAACAATGAACTTGTTGTCGTGACTCCAAATTTGCTACTCTATGTATCTATGTAAGTGGCGACGAAATAGGTTTTAAAATGAACATTTCCACGCATAATGTTGTGTTGAAATGTTGAATTATGGCTTCACATATTGTTGAACCAAGTTTAAAAAAAATGTTGAAAGAACATACGTCCTGATCGCTTGGCTTATAAGTCGACTTTTTCGTACCAACGAATAGTATTTTTCTCTCACAACAAATCACCCAACAAGATTTTCGGTCATGGCTTATCGATAAGCGAATGGTGGCAATCACTCTTCGAAAAAGCAGACTTTGTCGAAGTGCGAGACTTTGCCGAGTGCTTTTATCGGGGCACTTTTCGGCAAAATAAAGCACTCGAAGAAAGCGTGGCTTTGCCGAGCGCCATGCACTCGGCAAAGCCTGGCTCTCAACAAATCTAGGCTTTGCCGAGTGCCGCACTTTCGCAAAAGTCCCACTCGGCAAAATGTGGCCGGCCCGTGACGGCGGGCATCTGCCGTCAGACTTTGCCGAGTGCCTAACGGATGGCACTCGGCTAAAAAAAATTTATTATTTTTAAAACTCATTTTGCCGAGTGTAAACCTTGGGCACTCGGCAAATTTTTTTTTTTTTTTAAAACTTATTTTGTCGAGTGCCAAATCGATGCACTTTCGGCAAATTTTTTTTATTTTGAAAATCATCTTTGCATGAGTGCCTTCATACGGGCGGCACTCGGCAAAAGCCCACTTTGCCGAGTGTCCCCGTGCACTTTCGGCAAAATGTTTTTTTTTTTTTGGCCCAAATTTTTTTCTCGTGGCCTTGTGATGTTGTTTAAAACTCTATTTTAAAATTTGGGGCAATTTTAACTTTTTTTGATATATTTCATTAGTTTATTTCGTTTTAAGTCTAATTGTTTGGGATATTTCAAATTTGAACTGCAGGTACATGGAATAATGGACTTTGGTCATCCAAAATTGATACTCATGATATTTAGGGTATGTTTAGGCCAGTATCCGAAAGTCACATGAAATCTCAAGTATCTCGATTGACGTAACATGTCGAGGTACTTGCCGGAAATGTGATTTTAAATTATATAAAATGCAAACGAAGTCCGAAAATCATGAAACTTGTCGATCGTCGTGTTATCACATGTGGAGGCTGTGGTAAAAATTGTAAAGGTTTCGAGCAAATTGTGACGTCGGATGCCAAAACCCGGACATCGATAACACGACGCATCGACAAGTTTCATGATTTTCGGACTTCGTTTGCATTTTATATAATTTAAAATCACATTTCCTAAGTACCTTGACATGTTACGTCAACGAGATACTTGAGATTTCATGTGACTTTCTCGATACTGGCCTAAACATACCCTAAATATCATGAGTATCAATTTTGGATGACCAAAGTCCATTATTCCATGTACTGCAGTTCAAATTTGATATATCCCAAACAATTAGACGAAAACGAAATAAACTAATGAAATATATCAAAAAAGTCAAAATTGCCCCAAATTTTAAAATAGAGTTTTAAACACCACACAAGGCCACGAAAAAAATTTGGGCCCAAAATAAACATTTTGCCAAGTGCCATGGGGACACTCTCGGCAAAGTGGGCTTTGCCGAGTGCCACTGCATACACTCGCAAATTTTTTTTTTAAATAAAACCGCCGCCCAAAATCCCCCCACCCCGGTACCTAGTCACTTTGCTCATCCAGCGCCATTGCCTCCTCCCTGCCAACACACCACACTGGCTCATCAGTCCGCCACATGCATGCAGCCGAGCCCCAACGCCAGTACTCACTTCGAAAGCAGCCCCACCCAGTCACAGTGGCTCTCATGTACATCACGCCAGAGACCTCGCCTCGAGCACCACCCCCAAGCCAGCTCGTCTCCCAGCACCCACGCCATGACGACACCCCAAACCCCCCAAGCCCCCACAGCTCCCCGCAGGTGAGCACGCCATCACAAGGCCACGCCCCGCCCCCCCCCCCCCCCAAGGCCCTTGTCACCCACCACGCCAAGCAAGCCCCACACACTGACACACGCCCACCCAGCACCCTGCCACCCCACAAGGCTGCTCCTCTGCCATACGCCCACTGGCGCCCCCCACCCACAGTACCCCCACCCCCGAGTACCCCCCCAGCCCATTGTCATTCACACCCCGCACATGTGCGGCCCGCCATTGCACAGGCATGTCATCTGCCCACCGCCAAGGGTTGTCCTCCCCCGCACGCTGGCTGGCCTCAGGCGCCTCTGCTCTGCCGCCGCTTGAAGAAGGAGGAGGAGGAGCAAAGAAGAAGAAGAAGGAAGAAGAAGGAAGAAAAAAAGAAGAGAAAGAAAGGAAAAGGAAAAAAGAAGAAAAGGAGAAGGAAAAAGAAAGAAAAAGGAAGAAGGAGGAGGAGAAGGGGAGAGGGGACGAAGCCGAGGTAGAGGGGGAGGAGGTGCCTCGGCCGTCTTCTCCGTGTGCCCGTCCCGCCGACGCCCCTACCGTCACCGAACCACCTACGAGCGTGGGCAAGGTATATCCACCCTTTCTCCGTTTGTCGGCCTTCGTGCCGTTGTGATGTCGGCCTTCGTGCAGTGTTCTTATCGGCCTTCGTGCCGTTTAGGATTGTCGGCCTTCGTGCCGTTGTTTTTTGTAGAGTTTTGGAAACCTCCCGTGCAAGGGAGGTGCTTGCCAAATTTTGAACTTATAGTGTCGTGTTTCTTCTTTTGTAGAGCAGACACAGCCGGAGGTGACCCGGAGGTCCCCGATCGCTTTTGTCGGCGTCATGGTCTCGCACAAGATCTGCGTCGCCTCGCCATCATCGCGCCGACTCGCCATCGCCTCGCTAGCCCGACTTCACCGACACCCTAGGTATAAATCATCTCTTTTCCGCTTATGTCGTCGTCAGTGAATCGGTGTAGCCTAGTTAGGCGTCTCCCATCCGAAAGAGATATCTTTGGAGGTATGCGAGATCTTTGCATATCTGCGAGCATTTCTTTCGGATTGTCCACGTTTTTGGACAGCCAGCGGATGCGTAGATGGGTTAGTTTCCATGGTCCGCTCCGGTCCGAGGGCGGTGTTTCAGCATCACCCCTGTTGTTCTCCTGATACACACTCTCCCTTGCGGGACATGTATCGGGAGAAGCAAGGAGGAGGTGCCAAAATTCCATCTCGGATAGGAGCGCGAACATGGAAACTAACCTCATCTATGGATCCACGGGTGGGATTAGGACCTATCCTCACCTATTAGAGAGTAGGGACACCAGTAGATGCAATTGATGGTGACTCATATGTGCCGATATACGTCTGTTAAAGAATGGAGGACCGTGAGTGGATGTACACGCTCGGAGAGACGAGCACGATTATGACTTGTTGTTTATAGTCAAGGTCGAAGAATTCTTCAAAGATGCATTTGGTGAGAGTGCCGAGAATGTTCTCTAGTGGTTTGTCCATGCAAATGGTTGTGACAACAGAAGAAGGAAAGATAGGTTAACCATGGGTAAACATATTGTGAAGTTTGGATTTACTCCGGCTACCACCGGTGGATCCACCATGGTGAAGCCGATCGTATCGAGGAGGAGGTGGTGAGACCACAGCCGAGACTTTCGATGATGATGCTTGGGGTAGCGGACATCTTTGGATGACACACACCAAGCTCGATTCATGAAGGACGTGACAAGGAGGAGATGGAGGTCGCCGCAGATGCCTTCTACGATGTTGGACTCGGCACGAGACCCCTTCATGATCATACTAATGTTTCTCAGCTGGACGCCATTGGTCACGTAATGGGGTTGAAGGCCGAGTTAAACCTAAGTCGAGAAGGCTTCGACAAGATGGTGGCCGTGTGGAGCGATATGCTACCGAAGACACACATTATGCCGAAGAACTTGTACGAGTCAGAGAAGCTTCTTCTTGCACTTAAGATGCCGTATGACAAGATACATGTGTGTCCCAGAAGGTGCGTCCTATTTAGGAAAGAACACGCGGATGCAAAGTACTGCCCGAAGTGTAAATCCTCTAGGTACGTGGAGGTAGACTCAGGCGATGGCCAGAAGAGGCAGCTTAAGATCCCCATGAGAGTCCTACGACACCTTCCGTTCCTGCCGAGGCTCCAACGGCTATTTATGACCGAGGAATCCATGAAATGTATGACATGGCACAAAAACGGCACACGATACAATCCTGAGAAGATGGTACATCCATCCGATGCTGATGCATGGAAGTATTTCAATTCGCGACATCCTCTCAAAGCAGAGGAGGCTCGTAATGTACGTGTCACGCTGGCAACAGATGGGTTCAATCCATATGGCATGATGGCTGCACCATACACATGTTGGCCCGTGTTCGTCATCCCCCTGAATCTCCCCCCGGCGTCTCCTTTCAACGACATACCGTGTTCCTGTCGTTGATAATCCCTGGACACCCGGGGAGTAATATGGGTGTCTTCATGGAGCCTGTGATAGATGAGTTGATCGATGCTTGGGTCAAAGGGGTGTGGACATACGACCGAGCTACTAAGACTAGCTTCAAAATGCACGTCTGGTACCACTACTCCCTGCATGACTTCCTAGCGTACGGGTTAATGTGCGCCTGGTGTGTTCAGGGGAAGTTCCCATGCCCAATATGCAAGGAAGCTGTGAGGTTCATATGGTTGAAGAAGGGTGGCAAGTATTCGTCGTTCGACAAACATCGTCAATTCCTCCCTCTTGACCATCCATTCAGAGAAGACGTGAAGAGTTTTACGA